AAGTGTAGTAACCTCCAAAAATATGAAGACAAGCTCAAATTTCATCAAATTTCTAATTTCAGTATTAGGTTTTAACATGTTTTAACATCATTTGTTTAAAGGAACCATTTTGAAAAATGATGATTACAGTAACCATGGAATTTTTCAGGTTTTCCCATCGACCTTTCCCATGAGGCACTTACGGAAGATCAGCAGCTGCTGCTGTTGAAAGCGCTACATGTCGAGGCGGCAGCTCCCCTCCCAAAAAGATGCTGAACAGGATCTTCTCGGGCATTCCTACACACATCATATATATATATATTGGATCTATTCAAATTGGATCCAGTATATATATATATATCTTTTAATATAATATAATATAATATAATAATAATAATATATATATATATAATCTTTACACGATATGATATCTATAGATACATACTGTATATATATATATATTTACATTGATAATACTAAAAATAAATAACAACAATAATTTAATATGTATGTATGTAATGCATGTATGTACTTTTCTGTTCTGTCCTGTACTGGAATGTAATGTAATGTAATTTAATGCAGTGCAGTGTAATGTAATGCAAGTAATGTATGTATATATGTATACATATCATACACATATCGGATCTATTCATATTGCGAATTTATATGTATATATGTAAATATAGATAAATAAATGAATAATTACATAAGTAAATACATATTTACACGCATATACATATTTGCAAATGTATTGACAGATTTATGCATGTATGTTTCGGATCCATATGGGGCTATTCCATTCCTTACACTGGATGGTGGTCTGGTCTTGTAGAAACGGCTGACCAGGATGGCGTTGTGATAATGAAATAATAATGGCATAATGCGTACCCTCTGGTAAACTAACGGTTTGCTATATAAAATGGCCATTTATAGTTGATTTAGCTATAAAAACTGGTATTTTCCATAGTTATGTTAGTTTACCAGAGGGTATACATAGTGGGATATAGATGGGATATAGATGGGAACATAGATGAATTGTGGTTTTGTCTGAATATGGGGCACACCACAAGTCCAAGGGTTCATTGTACATTCACCTATTTTCAAACACTTGCATTTTTGGGGATTTTGGGGTGGTATACCAAATTTCGGCAAGCCCATATAATAAACACTATATATATAAATATAATGGGATAACAAGGCAACCGGTTGACTCGGCGCCCTTGTAAGGGTGACGAATTTGAAATTGTCATTTTTGAGGGTAAGAGAGAAAATGCTGGTATTTGCAGGAGTCGTCAAAAAATGTGTACAACATGGACATTCATTTCGATTGGCAGGCGTGTGACTCAAGGGTGAAAATTTGAATTTCGCCTGCGCGGTGACTCGATTTTTCTCTTCAAGGGTGAAAAAAAAACATTAGAATTTTATGATTTTAAGTCATCCAAATCACATCAATCAAGGCGGTATTCAATCCTCTTTTTTTTCCACTGTTCGAGGTTAGCGGTGCCAGAGTGCTTGTGGCAGTGCTGATGCTACAGTCTGTAACAAGGCAGCGTTGTGACGCCAAGTCCAGCTGTAAGCATAACTGTACCGTTTTTGGTACACCTGTTGTTTCTTTTGTGGAGCATGGATTGAGGTCACCATTTTTTTAAGTGTTTCCAAGTTCCATCAAGTTGTTGAGTTCCAGCAATAATGGTTCTAGAGGAAATCCAACCACGACCAACATAGGTTCACGCAGGAAATCCGCAAAAAGCGCGTCAGACAATGCAAGATGTCAGCAACGGCAACCTCTTCTGTAACGTAAAGGAAGTGCTCGATACGAACGTTAACATCCCCCCCCACCCCCCCTGACGATCATACGACAACAAATGCAACATGTGCCTCTTCCGTACCGTGAGGGAAGCGCTCGACACGAACGTTAACATCCCCCCCCACCCCCCCCTGACGATCATACGACAACATATGCAACCTGTGCCTCTTCCATGTGCAACACGTTAAAAAATCGAAAATTTCAAATCCTATACCCCCATTTCGGAAAACCTCATTTTTGAAATTTGCAACCCTTCCACGGGATCGTAAATGGCACATCTCAAAATCGACAACCCTTCCAAGGGCGCCGTATCAGCCGCATGCCGATAACAACGGACTATTTCTTAACAATAGATGTAGAATATTACTAATTTACCAATATTCGCCATATGGGCCATGAAGAAAACCCAACTGTTGATTGAATAAAAAGTGGGTTGTTAACCCACCTGGCTTTTGTTCGGGATGATGACCAATAGCAACAAAACCTACCCTCTAAGAAACAAACGTGGCAATGGAACATCCACTATTTTTAGATGATTTTCCGAATTCAAAACCTCCATCTATGCAGGATTGTCCGTTGCCACGTTTGATTGTCCGTTGCGGGTACCACGTTTTTCACCGGATGGGCTGGGCATTCCCCAGGGCGACATGACGTGACGAATGGAGGGATATCCTCCTGTCGAAAGCGATGGGAGATTCATGCAGCAAAATTGCCCGTTTGACCTGCAGGGTGGCCAATTTTATGGCAATGTTGATGGGGAAAAAGACGGTAAACCATTGTTTTGTGTTTTTTTTCCCCTCGTAAGACAAACCCGAAACTGATCCCATGGGCCAGATGTTATCCTGGAAGAGGAAAGCATAGTGGCATAGCTGATTGTACGGTAATTTCTAGACCTTGGGATACTATTTGTTTATTTATTTTTGAAGTTTAGCATCCTTGCATGGCATGGATGTAACCGTTTATACCCATGCGAATCCAAGATTTGGCGTTGCAGGAAGAGAAAAGAGCGGAAGAAACCAGGCGAGGCAATGGCGTTGCCCACTGGAAGATGACTTGTTTGGGATGAACCAGTGGGTAACCCGAGTGCTTCGTGGTTGTTTTATGAATCGTAAAAAATGTTTTTTCAACATGGTTTGTATATGTTTATATGTTTGTATAATGGTTATTTTGTACTTTCATTTGTTTTTTTATTTTGATGGAGGAACACTTTCACTATCCTCGAACAAACAGTTGTGACAAACTCCCTTTGCGATTTCACGTGGTCAATGACCGGAAAACCGTGAGACGGATGACTTTCAGTGGTTGAAGTTGCATACCAAGGGTTGCGAAGCCCATTTAGAATAATCCCTTCCCCCTAACATTAAATACCCCCTAGGAACACTGGTTTAGTTGGGGATTTGCACATATGTGGTACCATTTAGGTGGTTAACCATCGGATATCTCGGATGATGGGATTAGTAATGCGGTATGCCACCATAAAATGCCATAAAACATACCATAACATACCCCGCCTCTCCAATAATAAACCATTTCTGGGGTAGGAAGACCATTTTTCGACCTCAACGTTCCGTTCGGGAAGGAATGGCGGGGAATTCTAGACACCATCCCAACCAGGCTCTCAGCGTCGCTGAAGGCTGGGGAACTCGGAGTCACACCTCCAGATTCTGGTTATGAAGAAATGTGAGTGCTATTAAAACTACTTTAGTTGATGACGCTTTTGACGGACTTCGAAAAAAATGGGTAATTGGGGATTAGGAACTAATGCATAGTGAACATGGGAAACCGTTTTCAACACAGTAGTCTAAGATGGTATAGGGGGCTATTTTTAATGGCTCATGTTGGTTCTCATACATGGTTTTCAGGAGATTTTCCAGCACGCCACGTTTGATTACCGGAGGGTGCCTCTAGTAATAAATTGATATTGATAACAATACCCTCTGGTAAACATACAAAAAACTATGGAAAGATCCACCATTTTTCATGGGAAAATTCACTATTTCTATAACCATTTTCAAGAGCAAACTGTCAGCTATTACCAGAGGGTATTCGCCAATATTCCCATGATGCGATCATGCCTTATGGTTTTCGCATGATCCCATTTGAATTCCTGCAGCCACGTTTTTTTCATCCCACAAAAAGGGATCAACAACAGGTTTTCAGAAAAACTTCGTAGACTTCAGGGGACTTTTCCATGGGCAGTTTTGAACTAAACTCCAGCATTTTTCAGTTGTCCCAAATTCCCATTGGTTGATTGATATAGAATGGGCTTTGGTATTACCGCGAAATAACAGGTCAATGATGGTAGATGGTATACCAAACCGGTCCCAAAGTCCCAACCCCAGGTGAAGAAGGTGAATAGCGCGAGCGAGGCTTCCAGCCATAAAAGCCACCTCTATTTCACCTTACGAGACCGGCCCGCCATAGTGGAGAACACCGAAAACATCAGCTATCACGGGCATATCAAGGCAAACGCGAATCGGGAATCGGGAATCGGTCTTAAAAGAAATGGTAACATAGAGACGTGTACTGTATATAATATGATTTGTTGATTTGGGGGTAAAACAAACATAAACAAACATATAGCTGCATGTATATGTACATGATTGTACATATATATATATAGTTATATATATGTGGTGTATATATAGATATGCATATGATATAATCCCCATTGCTGAAAGCCTCAAGGTGTGTGGACTTTTTTTTTGCTCAGGCAGAGGCTCCGGCCTGCTACGTGTCCTTCCCTGGGAAATATGCGGCGGGCTGGGACGCATTGATCAAGGAACAGCACGATCTCAGCGTGGCGTGTGTCTTCCTCTGTACCCCGGAAGACGGCCTTGGACAGCATAGCAGCAGCCCTGATGGACGCTGTTATTGTCATCAAATCTATGGCGAACGGGACTACAAGACCTTTGGGTATCCTGGCTGATGTGGATTTTGGATTTTCCCAAGAAATCCATGACTGGTACGTGGGGAAGATTTTCTTGCTTTCTTGGTCAGCAACTCCAAGGTATTTGAGGATTTTGCCGGCAAACTGTAGTGTTGAGGAGGAGAATCGCCAGAGAACCAAGGCTCTTGCAACCAGAATGGTGGTGCTACGCGAAGGTGCCAGCAAGGAAGATCGGGAAGCAGCTGAAATGGAAGCGCAAAGGGCATGGGAGGAGAGCGGCAGAACGGTTCCTGGTGCTTTCAGACATGGGGTGGAGGGGGATAT